AGCGGCAAAAGCCGCTCGCCTCGCGCTCCTGCTGTTCCCGCGTTCGACCCACGGATTGAAAAGCAGGAGGAGAGACTGCTTTCAGTACAGCATTCGGCCAGAGATTAATAGTTCTTAACAGCGCTTCGAAGCTCGCGCATCTTTTCGCCGACCAATTGATGTCCACAGTGATTTCCAGCGGAAAGAAATCAGAGAACAAATATCACACTAATTAAAATTACAGACGCGATGTTTTGGGTAGCGTTTCTCCGCTCTTTAATAATTTTCGCTTTACTCTCAACGTATTTTTTGTGAATCACGACTCCATCGTTCTAGAATTGTTAACTAAAATTGAGTTCATTCAAGTGCAGCTTAATTGTTGTGCCGAAAGTTTTCCGAACAACGGCGTCGATTTTAGCTTGGCTTCGGACGAAGTCCCTCAGGGCTACCAAGAACAAAAGGCTATTCATTTTTGAGCCGGAACAATAGACCATTTCTTGATACGCTTAAAGTCTTATGCTGTACTGTAAATTAAATATTTTAGTCGGACGCTAAATAATTGTTTTTCTGTTTTAGAAATAAGTAGTAATTAACCTGCCATGGTTCTGCGATAAGCAAGAATCTACTCCCGTTTACCAACCGGTTTCCAATATCAGAAAAAAAGAACGGACAATATTTTAAATTAAAGTTTAAGAAAAGTCTGGTTACGTCAATTCTTGCGCACTTCAAGTTTATTTCATTGCGTTTATGCTATTTCCTGTAAAACTCTAAATATTTACAAAATCATTATTCTTTCTTATACAAGCTTTGTAACACATGCCCCTAGTTTTTCGTCCCTTAGTTTACAGGTCAGTTTGCTCAGATGTGTTCCAAGATGCAAACACTCTCATATAAATAGGAGTCCCATAAGAAAAGGTCTGGGATGTTCTTCTTCTCGCTTAAGGGTGTAAATAAGGGATTCTTGGTGACGAAACGCCACTATTTTTAGCTGTCAAAGTGTCTTTTAGGGTGTACTTGAAGAAAAAATCATAAAGGAAACACTATTATTTCCGTTTTAGGCTCGATTAGTCTGCGAGCAGGCTCACGCGCGCCAGCGGCGAAGAGCAAAGAGATCCGGCGGGAAGGAGTCTGGTAAAGAGGTACCAGCATCATCAAAGCGGACCACAGCAACAGCCAAGGCCATGTCCTGTATCTCATTAAACCAGTTCTACCATCCTTATCTCATTAACTCAAGGCAAATGAATTTATGGATAAATTGGTCTATTTATCTGAGGTATACTACTAGCGATTTTAAAGGAAACCTTATTTTGCCTGCGTTGATTACACTAATATTGTTTAAAAGTTTGTAGATTGGGATGTAACTTCGTCGTCATCGCAGGCCAAATTGTCTGCGGCAGGGTTTGAATCGAGACTCTCTCCAGGAGCATGTCCGTCGCATGAAGATCCACTGGACAGTGATACTACTGACGCGTCATAGTACGGTTGATCTTCATTTAACTGATCCATGTCCAGATATGGTATTTCTCTTTGTATCCAGTCCTCTAGTTCTTGGCACAGTTCGGTAAAGGTTGGCCGCACATCAGGATTGTCCACCCAGCAGCGCCTCATCATTTGATAGCTGTGTAAAAATGCAGATGGAAAATAAGCGCCGCTATAAAACACTTTGAATGTCTAAAATGGGCTTTTGCCTCAAACCTCCAGCCCTGAAAAAACAAACACGTGCCCTGTACTTCCCATTCTCAACTGATAGATCTCCTTCTCGACTTTATTTTTAGATGTAGTATATCACACACTCAAGACTGTGTGTTACCATACTTCCAGACACCGAGGACAGAGTTGAAAATACGACGAGTAGTGAGGTATTTTAGACAAACTTCGAGGTGTTTGGAAATACGGTCAAACAAGGTCTTGAGTGTTTGCTACATCTTCTCAATCGAAAGTAATTAAAACTGAGGGGAAAATGAAGAAACAAAATCATAAAAAATATATGCTAATATCCAAACACCGTTACGGCCATGATTTCCTTTCTTTAAACTTGATGAATTATTAATAAGTTTGAGCAATACCTTTGAAAGAGAAGAGAAGAGAAGAGAAATTCTTTGATTTTCCTAAAAGGCGTATTGACATTTTGAAATGAAAACCTCATGCATACGTGATCATTCCAATCCAGTTTTTTGGCACAAATAATCTAACTGAACAATATACTTCCTCTTCCCTCCCTCCTCCCTTCTCCCCCCACCTTCATCACCATAGAAATGTGACTTACAACTCCTCTGAGCATGTATCTGGTTTTTCCATTCTGTACCCTCTTCTCAGAAGTTTCATAAGTTCTCTGTTTTTAATGCCAGGGTAAGGGAACCCTCCTAAAAATAAAGTTCATCTCGTTTAATACCAACTTTCATCTCACTTATAAATTACATTTTTTATATTATTCAAACAGTGTCGCGGGGCAGGTCAAACCGACCTCTAATAGTAAATCAGTATTTAGTCTGATTCTGAAAGTGACATGTCCAGCCGATATTCATGTAGTCTGTTTGGCATCCGGTCTTTTCTCTCAGGTCTCTTAGACAAGTGTTAGCGGCCCATATCGCGTCCCAGTCCATTTCAGGCTAAAGCGGCACGCCTCATGATGTCATAATCATTCTACAGTCAGCTCTGAGTCAAACGTTTAATATGAAGTGATTGTATTTGCATGCTGTGATGAGCTTGTATGCCTTTATCATTAATACGGTGGAACCCCGTTAATACGGTCACCAACTGGCCATGAACATTTGACCGTATTAACGGGGTGGGCGTATTAACGGGACAGGGTCAAATGTCAAGGTTTTTCTAAATTGAGTGACGTCTTAACAGATACACATATCCCATAATCCTGGGGCATGTACACTAAATGCCCTGTCACCATAAGTTTTCGTGAAAAACCGCGGCTGATCTAACAGTTCATTGGTGACAGGTCTCAAAGATCCAGAGTGAGAGCGACAGTAAAGCTTATCAACCAAATAGCTAGGAGATGTACCATTAACCGACTTATAGGATACTGTTGTCAGCGTAGCGTAGCCCGTGCAAATGTTCTCCGCTTGTTCTCAGGCAACTGATTGACAAAAATGTTAATACAAGTTTTGTGTAACATAAAGCACTCTAGAAAACTTACCAAGAGTCGCAATTTCCCAGAGAAGAACGCCATATGACCATCTAGGCTCAAAATACAAATAAAATAAATACATTTTCGTGTATTTTTGGGACTCACTCTCATTTAAACACCTAGTTTCGTTGACTTTCCTTATACTAAGACAATGTTCTCATTATGGCTTGGTCTCAATTTGTATTGGTAATTACATGGAAACGAGTGCAATTAGGATTTACACCATCAGCGATATTTGAAATTTTTTTCAAAATGCACGAGCCTTTACACGAGTGTCATGGAAGAATTTCCAAATATCACGAATGCTGTAAATCCTTAATTGCTCGAGCTTTCATGATGTAACGACAGGCGGATAGACCACAGAGTTCGCAAAACAAACTTATTTTATTGCACTAAGAAACGCAGCGAAACTACAAACACGGCTGTCACGTGATCCAAGAGACTAGAAGTAGACTAGTACTTCATGTAAGCATACTCGTTTGACATGAGATATAGGGTTAGTACTTGACTGAGATGAAAACTAAAGTGCGCTCGTCTCTTTGCATTACTTTGCGAAAAAAGATTAACGATAAATTGGTCTACTCTCAGCTAATCATAATGAAGTAGTTTCCTCAGTCATATGTTAAAATTCGATATCCGAGCACAACATTATTTCATCGTTTCATCAAATTATCTTGAAAAATCGCGCAAAAGAGCCCTCAATTTAACGTGTAAAAACATTGCCTACAAGTCCAATATTTTACTTACACGTCACTCTTTGTGGTAAAAACACCGTCATTTATGGCCTCAGGTGACATCCACTTCACAGGAAGCTTATTGTGTTGACCTGTCATGTGATAGACATTCTCTCCCAGCGTGCTCCGCGCCAAGCCAAAATCAGCGACTTTGACAAGTTTGTTGTCACAGACTAAGACGTTGCGAGCGGCAAGATCTCGATGAACAATGCCTTTTGCTGATAAGTATTGCTAGACACAAGAAATATCATTAACTGTGGACAAAGGAAAACTTAAGTGGTGTAACAAATCTGACAACTGTCAACAATAATCGTGCAGTTGTCGTTATGAGAAGGCAAAGAGGAGATTCAGCGGTCGGGAACAGGACGAGGAGTAAAATAAGGCAATTCTCTTTGAGCATACATGATTCCCAAGAAAAAAGCCCGAAGGCGGATAATCAAGTCTCCCGAGACTCGAAAGGAATGTTGGGTCAGGAAAGATTCGTAAGGTAATTAATTGACACTTTCCTGCATTATTGCACTTTGAACAACCGATTACACTAACACTACAATTACAAAGAACAAATCTTTTCTCACTTACCATTCCTTGTGCTATTTGCCAGGAGAAGGACATCATGTTCTGAGGGGTTATAGAATCGTCTTCATCGACACCTTTATCTTGTTCTTCATCATTCAAGGCGTGAACGCTCTTAAATGTTACATCAATGCTGCTGTCCGTTTTCGAGAAGGCGACGTTGACTTGGGCAATGTCATTTACACCTGGCCCACAATACTGCAGGTAGTATAGACTAGAATAACTTCAAAAGAACTTATTCGGCAATCAGGGCACACTAATAACAAAGACAAAATACCCTCTCTGTGGGTACATCTGGAGAATTTATTACCTCGATGAGGAGGTAATCATAACAAACACTACATTTTAGTTGTTATATATATTCAGAAGATTACTAAATGAAACATGACTTACAATGCCTGAACTATCCTTGTTCAATGATCCTGGTGCATCTGAAGTGTCTTTGCGTATGTCTACGTAATCCTTATTCGTGTATTTTACCTGGAAATCAGAAAGCAAAGATTACAAGGCCTTACAAGTCATATGCTGAGTAATGGTTAATTTGTTTGGGTAGTCTCTCATTTCTCGTTGTAGTTTCCACGATTGTGCTTGAACGGACGAAATAAACTTGCCAGGGCGCACTATGGAACTCTAACTAACGACTACGCCGCTGATACATCCATCTCTTTATCTGAGCCACGTGTTTTTTTCGACTCGGACAAAAGCTTAGTCGATTCCTTATCTAAAAGACCCGTCTTTAGTCCTCTTTGAAGTCTCTAACCTATAACCTCTCGAAATGCTTGATGAGACAAATGAAAAGAAAGCAAAAAACGAGAAAACAAATGAAAGAAAAAGAAATTTTAGAATATGTCTGTAGTAAGTCACTTTAATGAATGAGTTGATGGTCGATATGATTTGTATCTGTGATTATATTATCTAAAATAGATAAGTAGGATCCGAGTAGTGTGAAACTTTGCCGCGTAATGTTGGAATTTGAAAGTCAGAGCACAAGCACCGGTCCCGTTATTTCAACTCGTACCTCATCAGCGTCCGATTCTTTCTTCAATTCAGGGCACACTTAAGCGTTTACCTTTTTTCGTCGTTCTCTCAGATAAGAAAGCAAGTCTCCTTTTGCTGCAAACTCCACGATGAGGAAATTTGGCGTGGACTTGGTACAACAGCCAATCAAACTCACGATATTCTTGTGTGAACCAACAGCTTTCATCAGGGTAATTTCTTCTATGAAATCGTTCATCTGATCAGGAGTGGCATTGTCTAAAAGGATTAAGCATGAAAAGCGTGAAATAATACAGCTACTAATCTCGTGTCAAGTTTATGATCAGGAATAGCCAGCCAACCCGTTACTGGAAATTAATGTTGCTGCGACGTAACTCCGACCATGCCTGCCTGGGTAAAAGGTTCACCAAAAGAAAAACAACTTTGCTTTTTCAAGCGTTCTGTTTTTAAACGTAAGCAAAGCATAACTTGCGGCGGCGTGAATGTAAAACAAGTGTTTCAAATACGATACACACGGAACTTTATTTAGCTCTTATTAACCAAGCAGGAGGTCTGTATTTGAGAATCTTGACCGAGGTCGTGAGTACAGACCGAACGCAGTGAGGTCTGTA